GGGAGGCGCGCCGCGCCGTTTCCCGGCTGCGTGGTTTCTCGAGCGCCTGGCGTCGCCGGGCGCCCTTGCTTGTGCCGGGCCCAGGGCCGGCCGTCCGGAGCCGGCGCTCTGGCGGGACTAGCGCGACGCCAGGACGCGCCGTGGACAGACGGGGCCGAGGGAGGCGGTGAGAGGCTGCTGCTCGTGCGGGCTGTCCAGCAGGGCTGCTCGGAGGCCGCGGGGACGGGGAGCGCGCGGGCGGCACGGAGGCCCGGCGCGGGAGGGCGGTGCCCGCAGGGCGGCGTGTCTCCGCTGTGGCGAGAGCCGTTCGGCGGGAGGAGCCGTCGTCGTGGGCTGCCCCGTGCCTGGTGGCCTGCTCGCGGCAGCCCGGCCTCTACCCGCTAGGTGCCGCTAGACCTCCGCGCCCAGCGAGGGCCGCCGGAAAGAGCTCCCGGGTGCAAGTGCCCGCGGAGCAGCATCTCCCCCAGCTGGGAACCGCTGATGTGGAACCGCCTGTCCGCAAGTGCTGTCTGAGAAGAATCTGCTGTCCAGTGCGGTAACCATCAGCTGCATGTGGCTGTTGAGTCCGTATAATGTGGCCAGTACAACTGAGGAACTGAATTTTAAGTTGTATTTGAATTTTAGTTGAATTTTAATAGCCACATGTGGCTAGTGGCTACTGAATTAGTGCAGATCTGGGGCCTTGTAGGCCATTATAAAGACTTTGACTTTTATCTTTTTTTTTTTTTTTGTGAGGAAGATCAGCCCTGAGCTAACATCCACGACAATCCTTCTCTTTTTGCTGAGGAAGATTGGCCCTGAGCTAACATCCCTGCCCATCTTCTTCTACTTTATATGGGACGCCACCACAGCATGGCCTGCCAAGCAGTGCGTTGGTGTGCGCCAGGGATCCGAACCTGCGAACCTGGGGCCACCACAGCGGAGCGCGTGCACTTAACTGCTGCGCCACCAGGCGGCCCCTTTTATCTTGTACCTCTGTCTTCACTTCCTATCTTTTGCTCAGTCTCCCACTCCAGACTAGTCCCAGTGGTTCCCTTGCTATTTGCTCTTTCAACTTGCCATGCGGGTTTCTGCCTCAGAGCCTTTGCTGGTCCTGTTTTGCCTGGGCAGTCTTCCCTCAGATATCTGAATGGCTCTCCTGCCCTTACTTCATTCAGGCCCCTGCTCAAACATCCCCTGTTACAGAGGCCTTCCTTCAGCCTCCTGTTGAATCACCTCCAGCAATGCCATGCTTACCTATTCCTTTCCTACCCACTTGATTTTCCCCGATAGCACTTAGTACATACTGCGTGTGTGTTGCCCCTCAGTAGAATGTGAGTTCTGTGAGCCAGGCAATTTTATCTGTGGGTTTTTTTTTCTTCATTGCCTGTTACAGAGCCTGGCACATGGTAGGTAGCAATAAATATTTGTTGAATAAATGAGTTGTAAAGCCATTGGAGGATTTTAATGAGGAATGGCATTATCTGACTTGTTTCAAACAGGATCATAGCGTTGCTGGTGTGAAGGGCAGACTGAAGAAGGACAAGGGTACTGGCAGGGAACCCAATTAGGAGACTGCTACCACCGTCCAGGCGAGAGGAGAGTGTGGCTTGAGTGAGTGGAGGACAGACAGATGATGAGTCAGGGATGACTGCAAGGCTTGGGCAACTGTTTACTGAGAGGAGGAAGACGGGGAGGAGTGGGTTTCAGTGGAGAAATCAGGAGTTATCGAGAGATGAGGCTTCCTGGAGAAAAGTGGTGATGTCCACGAAGGACTAAGCAAAGAATGAGGAGTGGGGCGGCAGGAGGCTGAAGAATTGCAGGTAAAGGGAGCAGTAGTGAAAAATGCATGGAATGAAACAGCGTGGTTGTTTTTGGTTGGAGCCAAAGACGGTAAAGGAGCCTTAACGAGAAGAGAAATTGAATAAAATCGTGAGAGGAAGGGCTCGACCAGGCTCTTCAGACTTCATTCTTAGAACCTTCGAGAACTGCTGTCCCCTTTTAACAGTGGAGGAAGTCTGCGCTCAGTGGATGCACTGCATTGCTTAAGGCACAACCAGAAAACTGGCATGCTGGAATCCGAATACAACAGATCCCCACACCTCTTTGACCCGTTCCCATTAAATCGAGTTTTGGTAGTTTCACTTACTTGAATACTTCAAAAAGAATTCTAGATTAGAGTGGTTTGGAGTATTAGATCTTATTATTAAAATATCCATTCATCCAACAGTAGTTATTAAATTATTAAGTTCTTATTAATAGTGGACTTCTTTAAATACCCTGGAAACAGAGTTTCTAAGAAGTCTCGATGAATTTAACGGGAAATAGTTTACCTTCTAGGGAAATAGGAAGAAACTTGTTGCTGTAGATCTGTGGTTTTTAAACCTTAGCAAGTACCAGAATCACCTGGAGGACTTGTTAAACGACAGATTGGTCCCACAGGTGACCAAAATTTCTAACAGGCTTTCAGGTGATGCCGCTTCTGCTGCTTCCAGGACCACGCTGTTAAGAATCACTGCTAGTAAAAGAGAATGACACATCAACCAGCCATCTCCCCCGGACTTCATCCTGTCTCGGAAATCACTGATCCTCGGGCAAGCGTGGCCCTCTCTATTTGGATATACCAGATCCACTCATACGTTTGCAGGGAAAACTGCACCGCAGAATGGCAACTGCATGACATTCTGGTTTTAGGAGGACACATCTGATTTTTTCATTCCCACCTCTCCATTTATTAGCTGAGTGACTTTAGTCAAGTTATTTAACGTGTCAGAGCCTTGGTGTCTAAAAATCAGTGTCTGCCTTTGAGTTGTTTTAACAATTAGAGGTAACACATAAAGTAGCTGGTAAATAATTTAGTAAACCAGAAGCCGTTTCTTCTCCATTGTGCAGCACCTATAAATAAGGCATGAACATCTCTCATTTTTAGTTTTATTCCATGTAATACTGGATTGCCTCCATTTCAAATCTTTATAGCCACAACTTCTGTCCATTATCAGTTGATTCTTGAAATCAGTATGGATCTCATGCTAGGAAAAGTAACATTTACCTTGGCAGCGTATTTAGTTATACTTGATTGCTTCCCAGAATTCCTCAAGTTTCAGAAAAGAAAAATGAAAAGTCCAGATAACTCCAATAGCTTTATCTAAATACCTCAATACATTTATTTAATAGTCTCAGATCATACGACTATAAATCATAGACCGAGAATTCTAGATCTCGGCTCTAGGATGCTTCAATAACTCTCATTTGTGTTTTTCAAAGCATATCTGTAATATGTGTAAAGTACTGTATTTAACACAATATCCATTCTTTCATTTGCAGTGCTATCTCATCGCATTAAAGAGATTCTTCTTCAGCCCCCATTTTTTTGTAGTTGCAAGTTATAGAGCAAATAGTATACAGGGTTTTCCTCTGTTAGTTCCTCTTACCAAAAAAGTAGGAGTCCTCATGCCCAAGGACCTCATTCACTTTTAGATACAGATTATTAATTGGCTTAAACATTTTCCCATTGAAATGCTTTTGTGGGAAGTAATTTTCATCATCATTTACAAATTTCAAAGTGACTTCACAGAGTCACTTGTTTTTTAAGTTCCACCAGAGGCTCTTTGTCTTTGAAGAATTACCAATGTAGGTAAATCCATCCACTTGCTTTTGGAAAGTTCTGATATTTGTCTTCCACCTACTAAGTCTGCAGAGGGTACTGTATCACACTGAAACCATTCACCTGAAATGACTATAGTATCCAGTGTTCTATCAACTTGTAATTCCTGTGTATGGACCTTAGTTAAAATGTCTATTTTGTGTAAACTTTTAGATTTTTTGTTTTTCTATAATGTTTTTAAAAATCACTCAATAATCTAAATATGGTAATAATATTAAGTGAAATATATCATTCTCTTAAGAGACATAATAGAAATTTCTTATTTAATATATATTTTAAGCCTAATTCCTTTTGAAGCAATGTGCTACATAAAACTGAACACTTCATTACGAACAAGGACAATGTTTTATTGAACAAATCTATGTACAGTACAAAAAATTTCTTGAAATGAGACACTATTGTTGATTTATTGCAGTTCAATGGCTCAGTTTTAATTTGTACTCTTATAAAATGCAAAGTAAAATAATTTAATGTTCAACAAGGAAGCACAAATTTCCTTTCTTGCTGAATCTGTAATATCTTTCACATATTAACAATTCCAAAATGCATATGCAGCATTTAGTCATTCTGAAAAGGTGTTTTACAGTACCAAATAAATTAAAAAATAAACACTATCATCCCTTTTAGGTTTCTCATCCATACAACAGTTTAAACCAAACGTGAAAGGAGTACGGCTGAACCTTCAAGTGTGATTTGAAAAGAATCACAAGTTTAATGTTATAAATTATCTACTTATTATATAATTGGTGGTTTTACAAAAAATGAATATGGCTAAAGCCCAAAGTACCAGTGTCCTTGTCCACGGAGAGTCCCCTTTTCTACCTCCTCCATAATATCTGAGCAGCAAAAATTCAGATTTGCTATTTTCTTGACCTTACTGAAACATAGCAGAAAGTTAATATTTAATGTTTTGAAGGAAATTTTTATTTAAAAGCAAGGGATTGAATCTTGGTCCATGTCAGATAATACATGCTCAAACTAAAAAAAAAAGAAAAAAGGAGAAGAATCCGAGGAATAAGAAGAAAGCTTCCTTTTCTTCTGAATCTCAAATTAGAACTGTTGGAAGTTTATGCACCCCATAAAAGCAAAATGATGTAAAAGTTTATGTTTTATAAGACATACACAATAAAATGTACACATTCTTTCAATAGCAATTATTTGAGAAGCATATAAAGAGGTTAGAACAGTGTGGTCAAATAGAATTTTATAAAACATTCCTTGATTTAGTTATATATAAACCAATTTGATGTGTCTTTCAGAAACAGTTTTCCCTTAGCAACACAAAAGTAGAAATAAAACCTCAAATTAAAGACAAAAGAATAACAAGTGTTTAAAACATCTTGCAAGATCATGAAAATAATTTCCAGACATGGATTTATGTCAACAGTTAACTACTTATAAAAAAATAAAAGGTTAAAAATGTGATAAAATGTTAAGTTGTAATTTTAAACCTCTGGAAAATGTACAAAGCAGAAATTATATTTTAAAAAAAAACTCCATTGTCCAAATGAACTGGTTTTTAAACAGACTTTTTATTATATGATGTATTTTAGACTGAACTGAAATATAACTCAACTATTATATTTTTAGTATCAGGAAGTATGGAAAAACATTTTTTTTTTTTTAAGTTGACCTTAAAGGATTTACAAATCTGATTGTGTTTACTTATCTATCATTTAAATATAAATTCCACAGCCTAATGTAGGCTATATAACAAAAAACAAACCTAAATTTGACTGGAATGGACTTATGACTATCAATTGCATAGTAGTGAATGCCTATTATAAATAAACTAGTAAAACTGGAAAATTTTTTTTTATCTGATCTATCATGACCTGGAAATCCTAATTTAATAAAGTCTGGATGCTACCCTGGAAGAAATGTTCCACTTCCTTAGTAACTTCCCTCAAGAAGCTTTAATATCCAAAAATTTGTAACAGTAGGGTCTGATGAGATGATCTGCTTTGAACAAAAATGTATCAGTTGGAATAACTGGAATATTTAGTTGACACTGGTACATCAGTAGCTCCATTTCTGAAGAATTTGCCTTTGCATTTTTGTTCATTTTATACCTGCTATAGATTAACACAGTACTATTAGGTAAAAGATCTTTAAGCTTCCTCTTTTAGAGAATGTACAAGTGGAACACATCTGAGAGGGTATTTTAAAAAACACTTCTTGTTTCAACAATTTATTGACTATTAAGTTAAAATCTTCCTTAGGAAAATTACTGGTCATCAAGGAAAATAAATGCATCAGTATATTTTATGTTCTTGCTGTGCAAATTTTTGTGTAAATATTTCCTTTTATATATAAAAATTACTATTCAGACCAAATTCATCACTAATAAATAAGAAAGCATGAGTCATATGGCTTATTTTAGAATTAACTCTTCTAATTGAATAAAACCAATGAATTCTTGACCTGATTCTTAGCTGATAAATTTTTTTTACAGCCAGTTATTTTTATAGGACTTTACTTAGATAACTCACATTAATGTCTAAAGGACCTTACTATGAATCATCAAGCAATGTCCTAACACTACTCTTATGTACAAATAGAAATATCCCAGTGTGCTTATACCATTATTCACATTGAGGAATTTGCAATTCAGTGTTTTCCTTCAACTAGATAGCCTTTAATGGTCTTAGATTCCTCCCATCTCTCCCCAAAGTTACTGATGGTACTTTTTCCATTTAATTGACACTCCTGCCTTTTAAATATAACTCATTGGTATTACAGAAATGGCAAGTGGAAGATTTCTATCAAGAGCTTATTACCAAAGCATTGTTGTCTTGTTTACTTTTGTTTTTTAATTTTCAGTGCTGGCATGCCATTCACTGAACTTTGACCTAATCAGTAATGTAGAAACAACTTAGAATCTTTCATGGATAGCATAGTGATAAATCATTATAATAAACCAAATAGCAAGGTTCCTTAAACCATGTTTGACCAGAAGGGAGGACATAATCTGATTATGCATGACAAGAAAACGAATCTCATTTGTAGAATACTTTAAGTTGTTTATTGTAAACCAACCCTCCCTCTTTTTTATAGTGGGTTAACTTTTCCCTTTCTGTAAGGCCATAGCTGGTTTTTCTTTCTGACTAGTTGACTGAATATATTTCTCACACAAGCGAAACTGAACATGCTGCTATTAATCATCATCAACTTTTATAAAATGTGGTTTTCGGGATAACTGGTACTTTGGGAGTTTTGTAATAACCCTTTTGGAGTCTAAACCAGCACATCTCCTCTGTGAGTTCATTCTAGAAAATGTGCTTTGTCTTTATCTTTAGTAATCCGAGACCGCTCTAAAATTAAGGCCATCAGGGAAATAGCAAACTGATGATGCATTTTCTTGTAGTGCTTTTTTCACACTACTGCTTGATCGACAGATCTTTCTGAAACATTTTTATCAGGCACCTGTAAAACAGAACATGTCTGTTAATTCAAATTTTATAGATGTTCAACTGGAATTCTAAGTCAGATTCCTGTTTAATTGATACCCTTACTCATTCAAAGAATATTTATATTAGTAGAAAGGCAAGCTCTTCTTTTGCTCAATTTTGTTTTTCAATTATTTGCTGGTTCTCTTTTACTTCTGTTTTTGTAACAGAGGCTCAACTTCACTTGGCTTATATTTTGGCATGCAGATGAAAAACATTTCCACCTTAATTACTTTGTTCTAGAACTTTTATTATATGACACTTAGAATGAAGAAAAGCCTTAGACACAGTGAATGAGTATGATCAAAGAGTACGCAAAACTTGTGTTCCAGTTGTGGCTTCCACAAGTTCACAGGCTTGTGCCTATGCAAATTGCTCAACTTCAACTAGATAGCCTTTAGTGGTCTTAGATTCCTCCCATCTCTCCCCAAAGTTACTGATGGTACTTTTTCCATCAGTATTCAGTTGCTTGATCTATAAAACAGGAATAGTATAGTGGTTGTATGAATTAAAGGAAATGATGTATGGGGTAGTGCTTTATCATCTGCTATACAAATGTTCATTTTTTAACCTTATACAGATCTATGGCATTTTCTATTTCTATAGATATACCCACTGAGAAGATAGAAGACTTACTTTCATCATCTGAATCAAATCCAAAGAGTGTCTGACATTTCTTTTGTGCAAGGTGGGCCTCAAGTGCTTCTGCATTACAGTAGGTGGTGAGGCATTTGCCACATCTCAATCTTTTCACTGATTTTTTACAAACGTTATCTTGATCAGAACAGGCATCTACTCTATCAGTCAGAAATTTTCTGCGTTTTGGCATACTAAGGTACCGTTCATCCAGGTAACTGGGAGGCAATGGTCTGACATATGGCTTTGTTAAAATTAAGCCATATGAAGTATGTTCAGTCGTCAGATTTGGTTTGGAAGGTGCCTGAGATACTGGCAGGGTATTGTGTTCTTGTGGTACAACATTGGGTAAAATGGAACCGTTTTCTGTCCCAATTCTATTTGTATCAATTTTCAAAGCAGGATCTGATGAAACTAAAGGTGTCTGCTCTATTCCACGGTGTCCATTGACTAAATCACTAACACTACAGTTATTTTCAGCATTTGGCTCTATGTCAGGCATCTTTTGGTCTATCAAGCTTACATCAGAAACAGTGTCATCAGAATGTTCATTTCCATTCTGAACTAAACTGTCTGTTTCCTTTTCCATACTTTCTATATATGTCTTTGGTTCTGCAGAATCGTTCCTTGATTTGCTAGTAGAAATTGGCAGACTAACAGTTTGTTTCTCATTACTAGGTGAGTTTTTTTCCTGACAATTAGGATTTGTGTCTGTAAGAACATCCCAAAGAACTGCTTCACTTGGCTGTGCAGATGATTCTGGTGTTTTACTTAAATAGTGCTGAGCTTCATGTTCATACAGCAGAGGAAGATCTTCGAAAAGCTCATGGCATTCTGGAAAACTACACTGAGCTTGAAATATTCTGTGACTTTTTGTGTGCTGAGCGAGCTGGAATGGCAGCTTAAACGACTCATTGCAATTAAAATGCAAACAAAAGTACACATTTGGATAGCTGTGTCTATTAAGGTGATCTATAAAATGCTGAGAATCTTCAAACTGCCTTTGACAAAATTTGCATTTTCCTTTGCTCCACTTCATTACTGTTTGCCGCACATTTAAATCAGTTGGATGAACAGTCCTTGCATGTTTATTTAGAAATCCAATTCTTTTAAATATCCTGACACAGCCAAGAGCAGGGCACTTAAAGTTTCCTTCTTGATCTGTAGCATATACGTCTTTTGGGTGGCATACAGTTCCATTGATTTTATGAAGTACTGAAGATTCTTGATTCAGGTCATAATCATCCTCTTCATAATCACCTTCATCCTCTTCCTCATAGTCATCCTCACATACAGGTAAAGGCTCCGAGACATTATTTAAAGAAGTATCAGGACTGCCATTTTCAATAATGTTTTCAATAACATCTTCTGATACACTTACAGGAATTTCAATGAATTCAGCCACATGTGCAGGGATGACTTCTTTGTTTCCATCACTGGAAGCAGTAAAAGTCTCTACTTCCAAATCCTTATTATCAGAATTCCCATTTTCAAATGAAATGAAAGAATTGGAACAATGTAGTTCTTCCAAAGCAGGGATTTCCTGATCCTCCTGTTGAACTGCAGCAATTTGCTGTCTCTGTATTTTCTTAATATGATTCTTTAAATGCTTCTGCATAAGTCCTCGGTTTCGAAATTTCCTACCACATATTACACATGAAAAACTGCCCTTTTTCTGATGAGCCTGGGCATGCCTTACAATGTGACCACCTAGAAATTCCTTGTTACATAACATACACCGATGTCTTGGGACACTGTGATCTACTTTGGAAGCACTAAGAGCTGTGAAGTTTTTCTTCGTGTTAATATGACCTTTAGGTTGCACTCCAGATAGCTCATCAGGATCAAGCTCTCCAGTGCTCTGATCTGTAAGAGAGTCAAGCCCTTCGTCTAAACCTTGCTGTTCCACTGCGTTTTTCAGATTACCTGTAGAATTTTCCAGTGTACTTTCATGTAGAAATCTAACTGCTGATTTATCGCTCAGTAAAGCCACACAGTTTTTCTTAATCATTACGAAGTTCCAGAATTCAGGATCAAAAAACAATCCCTTTTTCAAAATTGGAAGTAATTCAAAACGAACACGATTTTGAACACTACTTGTGCCTTCATTATATTCTTCATCTGGACGTTTGTAAAGCTCTTCAACAGTATGATAAGCTTCCAAGGAGCGCTCAAGAAAAAATATTGAGAGTGCACAAATCCTGAGGATCTCCAAATCATTTGGCAAAAAATGTGCAATTGTTTTATAAATTAGACATTTAGTTTTGGGATCATCATGAAGGTCTAGCTGTAGAGCACAACCACATATTTCAACACAAATTTGTAAGCCTTCTTCTTCAACCTGTAAAAAGAAAAATATTACTACTAACTAAATACCTTTTTTAAAACAATTATTACACTAACTAGTTTATCTTTTTAAAATACAACTCTGAAATGAAAGCTGAATAAACACAGTATTCCAAATGTGTAATTTTCCTCATTGGGTAACCTTTTTAAATTCTTTTTTAATATATAAATAAATCTTTCTTTTTAAACTTGAGAATAATCTGGAAAAGATAGCATTTTAGCTTCCAATTTACTTTATTTTCAAGTTTGACAAGGCCTACTAATTCAAAATGCTTCAGAACTTTATGGTGATTAAAATACAAAATGCTTCATAAACTTATGGTGATTCAAGTTTCTTACAAATCTAGGCCCCCATTTATTATTTTAGGTACCAACCACACATTCTGTGGCAAGAAAGGTTATATACATTTAAACATATTTATGAATATTTGATAAAAAATAAAAATAGATTTTAAAAAAATCTGCTTATGGAAACTCTTTTATGAAGCTGTACTAAATAATATTATTTTACTTTTTCAGTAATATTATTTATCCAACTAAGGGGAGAAGTGTGGCCAACATGAAGAGGGCAGGTACAATCTTTACAAATCTAATAAGGTTATCAGAATAATGAACCTACTGGAAGTTATCTGAAAATCATTCAAGCTTTGAAACTTTTACTGATGACTCCAAGATAACTGCTTCAGCTTTTACTTGGGAATTTGTTGTGTATCCACCTTAATTCAAGTTATAAATAATGCCTGTAGTGATTTGGAACGAAATAAATGCTTGTTTGAATAGAAAGATATACAATAAAAATATGTCTTTAAAATTATGTGTGTGTGCATCATACTGCTTGCATACAGTGTATCAGAGATGACAGGAGGAACACTGCCTCGCCAGCCTCGTGTCCTCTTAGTCCCTTACGTGCTGTGTGACCCTGCTGAACTACTTACAGTTCCACAAGCAGACTTAAACTTTGCACATCATACTCCCACTTTATCTAGCTGGTAAATTCCTACTCATTTCCTATTCATTCTTTGTGAATCAGTTCTACTCTGAAAATTTTTCTCCCCATTCATTCTGGCCCCTGCCCTGGGGTAGAGTTAAACATTCTCTATTCTTTCCATTGAGAATAACATACTTATTTCTGAAAAGCATGTACATACTGTTTTATAAGTATCTGTGTATGCCCCTCCCCCCTGACTTTGAATTTCTAAATCACCAGGACAGGATCTCATTTTTTGTATCCTCCTATGGTTAGCGTAGAAGTTGGCATATTGTGTGACCTTTGAATCACAGAATGAATGGGATCAGATCTATTCCACTGACTTTAGTTTTCTCCTATAAATCCATCATTTCCAGCTTGGAATCCTTTTCTGAATTCAAATTTATTTCTAATTGTCTCTTACAATTAGATATTCCCACCTAGATTTTCCAGATACAGCAAATTCAGAATCCACTGCTTCAAAACAGAATTCCTTCTCTTTATCGAAAGTTCTATCTACATCCTCTCTCTTGACTCATGAAATTATAATGTACCCAGTTGCCCAAGTTTAAAAATTTAAGGATCATCACAAAAGGGAACAGCTACTTCCTTACCTGAAATCTTTTAATGATTCCAGTATATTTAGTGACCAAAGTTCCAACTTTTAGTGTAGCATTCAAGGCCCTTTAGGATCTCCAGCACCCCCACCCCCGCCCCTGAAGTCTCTCTCAATAGTTTCCTCTCCCACACACTTCCCCATGTTTCTCTGCTACCCTATTAATGCCACTGGACAGATGTGAGAAACAAAAAATGAGGCAAAAGTGCTCTATAAACTACAAAATCCTCTACAAATGTTAGTATTAGCCTCATGTAGCATTCAAAACCCAGCTTAAAGCATCTTCCTCTGTGAAGCCTTTTCACATATGCCATCTGTAATGTCTCCTTCTTCTGAAGTCACATAGCATTGGCTGTGCCTCTTTTCACAGCACTAAGGCATGTGAATGATCTGACTGTAAACAATTAAGCACATTTTTAATATTTATTTCACCTTTGAATTTTTCCTCTTATAATGTATCCTTAGGTTGACCAGACATATGAAAATAAGAAAGCTCTATGATAATTGGCTGAACTTCACCTATACTGTAAACTTTCTATAACAAAAGTCTCTCAATTTTTGGTGCAAATGAGAATCATACGTAAAAAAAATATATATGGATACATCTTTACTTTTTAAGAAGTTTTACAGGTGATTCTGATGCACTTCAAATGCTGAGAAGTATTCTATAGCATAGTTTGTGTTTCTCCCCTTTTTGGCAGGGAGACGATCTTTGATCCATCTGAATGACATTTCATTGTTTAATAATGAAGCTATTAATGCAGTCAGCAAAATAAATAGGAAATAAAACAAAAAACCCTCTGATACAATGCTGCCAACTTTATATCATGGGAAGATGATTACTGCGTGGTCATACATCTAATGAGAGATGTGATAAACACATAAATATATAAGAAAAAATTAAAATATATTATTTAATGGATGCCTCCTTATATATTTAAAAGTAACCCACATAAAGATTCAGTTAAATGGAGCTACCTAAAATGTAGGGTAGCTTTATCTTTCCTATCTTTGTATTCTAAGTTCTGCTAATATCCGAGGGAGAAGAGTTAGAGGATCTGCAGGATCCACTTTTTATGTAACAGTCATATGCAGAATTGTACTCATTTGCAAGTGGCCCATGAAAAACCTGCTTCAGAACTATTTTTAACAACAGGTAATGTGTTTTTACTATCACTTCAAATAAACATTTAAAAAATTTATCCTTAAGTTTCAAAAGTACCTCAGAATTCATTATTCCTTTTCACCTAAACAACAGACTTAAAACTATGAATTATATTTCTCTCTGACAGAGAGCAAGTATTAACTATAGATATACAAAGTTCATTTGCAAATTAGTTAAGATTCTACAAACAGGACTTAGGATAATGTTAAAAGTGACAAACTTATGTAATTACAAGAAGAGATAATAGCTTTTTATGGAAGCAATTGTTCCCATATTAAATTTTAAGTAAAATTTTTTCTCTTTTTTCAGTTATTTTCATTTATGTATACCCTTTGTACCACGTTGGGAGTTTAAGGTTGTGGGGGAGGGGAGGATGTAATATATGGAGAATGTGGCCTTAAAATCCTCCTTTCTCTTCAGTTTTATAATCAGATAAATTTTATAAGAGATTCAAGTTTCAGTGAACTGTCATTTAAATTTCATTTAAAATGAAGGGATAAATATATCCTATTTACCTCATCTTTAATGATTTTCATGAAAGGAAATATGACTCTCACATTAGTTGCTGTTCTTAAAAGCTGGTAGCATTGATCTACAAAAACTTGTTTTGAAGGATTAGACTTAAGCTGAAGTTTACTCCATATGAAAATCAACTCCCTGTAAATGAGAAAAAAAGAGAAAGATCAAAAATACAGCTTATTCCAATACAGACATTAGCCATCTTTCCTTGATTCTATAGTGCCCTGGCTGAGATGTATACAAAGTGAGCATAAATGGATATTATGTTAACCTCCAAGTACTTATGCTACCTAATGGGAATAACAGAAGCTGGGAGAAAAAGAGAGATCAGAAATGGCAATTTTGCAGTGGGAAGGAATGAATTCCAATCATATGCTGACAAACCTAAGGCATCTCTGGTACTTGATCAAAACAAATTCTAATCCCAGTGTACCAATATTAATGATATTACTTAAAAAAAATAAACTTTGGCCTTTAATTAGTACCCTATTTGCAGATTTAGAAATCAAAGTTGTAGACTTTCTGCAAAGAAGAAATGTTTCATATTTTTCATTTTCAATCTGTTAAGTTACCAACAGTACTACAAATTAAAAGTGTAACTATATTATAGTACTGATTCTGAGGTTTTATGTTTTGGATCATCTACTCTTCCATTAAGATGTAGTACTTTTAAACAGACAAGCTATTGGCCATTTAACGTTTTTCACAGGTAGATTCTTTTCTAAAATATGGCCAAGGTTATTACATGAGCAAGGTGGGACTAGTGGGTTTTCAGGCACAGAAAATCATAAGATATAATTGATACATCTGGATATCACATTTTAGCAGATTAGAATTCTTTAAAACATATCATAAAAGTTATATAAAGCATCATAATCTAAAAAGTATTAAAATAATGGATGAAAATGTTTTTAAAAAATATGGTTTACTGAGTATGTACTTTGATGCCAGTACATACAGCTATTAAATCTAAGGACAGCTTGACTACTATCGTGAAGGTGCACATAGTTTACTTACTGAGGTGATACAGAAAACACAAAACAGAAAAGGATGTCAAGCAACAGAAGAAGTAAAACCAAAATTCCATCTTCATTTCATACTAGCTGTGTGGCTATCCATAAGTTTCAGTCCACCACCCACTTTGTTTTGCACACGCAGTCCTTTAAAAAGCTCACCAAGTTTCATACCTTGCTCCTAAATCTCCATCTGAGTTCTTTCCCAATATCTATGCCTGGGTATTTCAATTAAGACTGCCTTCTATCACCTTAACCCACATAGAACAAATCATATTCCTACAAAATTGATTATCTTTTCCTACATCAGTCAAAGACACTAAACATTCCTCTAACCTGTTTGTTTCTAACCTATTTATTTTCCACAGTCTTTATATTTCTATTATATTTTTGCCCACAGCCATACCATTCCTTCTCAATGCTACCACCTTTAATTTTATACATATACTTCTACAGGGGTTGCTAAATTTATCTGTTTCCAGCCTCGTAGATCATTTCATTTAGTGTCTATTCAATATGCCGTATATAATGTTAAGAGCAACAGAAACACAGGTTTTAGAGTCAGAAGGATCAGGATTTGAATCCTGGGCACTCTTCTAGGTTGGTCTCCTCACTGTCAGTTAATGTGCTTCACTTATTCTTACTTTTGTTTATGATGATCGCTCTACATGGAAAGTACTTCTTCATTTCTAAGATGAGCTTATCTTTCCAAGTCCATATCAAATGCCTCTTCTTCATCAAAGCCTTCATGAATACCCCAAACTAAAGTGATAGCTACTTCAGAAGAGATCTTATCCCTTGTATTAATTTCATGCCTATCATGTACTTCCTTGTTTATATTTTATAGGTCCTATTTCCCCAACTATTAATACATTGTAAATCTCAATGACACATTGTAGAGTGGAGGGAGTGGCAAGAACACAAGATTGGGAATAAGGAAGACCTAACTCTCAATAGGGCATTATACATTAACTGGCATGGCACTATTCAGTTCACAGTGAGCCGCCTTTTTCTAGGAATAGCCCTAATACACAAGGTTGGAACTCCAGTGGCCATGTCTCCTATGTGACCTTCCTCATACCTTCCTTAAGATGCTAATTCAGGGGTAGGAAACTGACCCCAGTCAGGCCAGCAGAATCCCTGGAATGTTCTCAAGTCTAAACTATGAAGTTTGGGGACTGCTGGCATTCTTTCTGGTTTGCAACAGGAGAGACTGAAACCAACTGGCAGAAAAGAGAAACAACTTTTTTAAAAAACCCTAGCAATCTCAATGTCCTTGGTAGCAGTGATCTTTGAGGACCAGCTATATCCCTGCCTTTTTTTTTTTTTTTTTTGGTAAGTAAGATTGGCCCTGAGCTAACATCCCTTGCCAATCCTCCTCTTTTTGCTGAGAAAGATTAGCCCTGAGCTAACATTTGTGCCCATCTTTCTCTATTGTGTATACGGGATGCACCACAGCATGGCTTGATGAGTGGTGCATAGGTCTGTGGCCAGGATCCAATTCCACGAACGCCGGCCGCCAAAGCGGAGCATGCAAACTTAACCACTATGCCACTGAGCCAGCCCCCCATCCTTGTCCTTTTTATGTCTCCTGTTATACCCCAGTATCATTTCAATAAATACTATCTGTTCCCTAAACTCCTTAATTAGACATAAGATGCTATCACTTGCAAACTGACTAGTATAAATTCCAACTCCATTTTGTTATTAGCTGTGACTTTTATCTCTTTTATCCAGAGTTTTCTTATACATGAAAGAATTGAGAGAAGTGAAACCATGTAAGTGAAATGTCTGGTATATACTGATGTTTAATAAATCGCTAGTTTCCTGTTATTTTCCTTGTCTTTATAATCTTCATAGTACCAAGCAGTGAGATTTATTCAATAAATATGTTGGTTAATAATCTGAAAGCATTTAAAGAAAGCCTCTTGAGGAAATATATTAAGAGAAATTGTAGACATGGAATGAGGTAGAAGATGATGGTAGACATTCTAAATAAGGGTTATGTTATGTACAAAGGGATGTGGATGGAAAAAGGCAAACAAATCAACTGTGTTTAAGAAGCTATGGCATATCTCTGCAACAGATTTTTTTTTTTTTTTTTGTGAGGAGATCAGCCCTGTGCTAACATCCGCCAATCCTCCTCTTCTTTTGCTGAGGAAGACGGCCCTGGGCTAACATCCGTGCCCATCTTCCTCCACTTTACATGGGACGCCGCCACAGCATGGCCTGCCAAGCAGTGCGTCGGTGCGCGCCCGGGATCCGAACCAGCGAACCCCGGGCCGCCGCAGCGGAGCGCACGCACCTAACCGCTTGCGCCACCGGGCCGGCCCCTCTCTGCAACAGATTTAAAGACAAAAAATGATTGTTGGAAATTATGGGACAGTATTCCATTCAATATTACACAAATGAATGTTTAACATATTAGAAATGTATATATTTATTCTCCAACTTGTTCTAAAAAATAATTTGAGACACCTTACAGACATTCTTGGTGTATGATATATTTTTTTTCTTTTTTGAAAAGAGAGATCTTATTTCCCTTTGTGTCTGTTAACTCAGGAGGAAACTTGTAAACAAAATGTTAATTCCAAGATCCTAATAAATTTGCCAGAAGAGGGCTACCAATATGAATTTAGCTTTCTAGCAGGCAAAGCAGAAATCTCAAGATTTGGTTATGAAGCTCCATTTTGACTGAACTTACAAAAGGGATCTCCGGTTTTACTTGTATACTGGATTTTAAGGCAAACAAATAAACAAAACACCCTGAAAACCACTGAATAGTCTTCTTTGCAAAGAACAAAGGAATGTTTAACGAAGCTTACATTTTCTTTTCAGAGGGTCCTTTAGAAAACACAAAACCCATGTGTTAAACAAACACATTTCCCAGGTACTAACTACTAACACAATCATCAAGTTATCTAGTTGCGGAAAACAGGCTATAACGGGGTCTACAGCCACCCTCACAACATAGATTTTTTTCATATTTGACCCATTTATAGTAAGTAATGTTTAATAACTGAGGCTGTGAGTCAGGCTGCCTGGGTTTGAATCCTGGCTTCATTATTTACTAGTTGAATGGCGTGGGCATAATATTATCTACCCCACAAGACTGTTGGAATCAATGAGATAATGCATATATAAAGCAAAGACTATAGGAAGCACTCAGCAAATATTAGCAGCTGCTATTATTATTATCATTATTATTATTATTAGTGATGGTGAGAGAAATTGGGTTAGTGTCTTGCTTCACTGGCTCGAGACAGAGCAAAACTGGACTGTGAATCAGGTTCCGTCCTCAGAGAAGGGAAATGAAGGGTAAGCTGCTTCATAGGAAAGCCAAAGATGAAACAGACAATACAGACCTTCTACGCTGGAAAGAATCCTGCTCTTCAAGTTACAGTGAAAATCAACTTTTAGAAGCAAGAAAAAGGACCCCAGCATTCAAAACTATAGAGAAGAGGTAGAAGAAATAAGAGGGCAGGCGATCAGAACTCAGCCTACTCAAAAGGAAGGGCACAGAAGCAGGCTCAAGACTCCCTTCCAGTCAGGCAGCTGGGAGTCACACACCCGGCTTCTATTCTTAGACGAGGACTGTGGCCAGGAGCAGGAAAGAGGCACTGTTCTATTTTTAAGGTCCTTCCCTAAAGAGCAGAAATTGGTTAGCCAAGGGAAGAAGAAAATAAAATATGTTTTCCCATTTTTTTTGTTTGTTTACACTTGATTCTAGTTTACTTACGAGTATATTAAAATGAAAAGACTAAAGATACCCTGTTTAAAAAGTTTTATATATATATGTATGTGGGACCAGCCCAGTGGTGTCGTGGTTAAATTTACACGCTCGCTTCAGGCAGCCCAGGGTTCACAGGTTCGGATCCCGGGAGCGGAGCCACTCACGGTTTATCAGGCCATGCTGTGGCAGGCATCCCACATATAAAGTAGAGGAAGATGGGCACGGATGTTAACCCAGGGCCAATCTTCCTCAGCAAAAAAGGATTGGCAAGGGATGTTACCTCAGGGCTAATCTTCCTCACACACACAAAAAAGTTTAATATAGCCAAGGACAGAGGACATTCCTATCCCCATCAGAAGATCTACAGAGAACACTCTTATCCCCATAGGAAAAGATCTACTATAACAGTCAAGACTGTATTCCATTTCAGAATAACTACATATAAAGAAAAGATAATACTTTGAAAACTATTTTTAAAAAAGTATGTCTTACCACTGCCTCTTGATCCCCTTCTCTATTTGAAATTCCAATTTACACAGTAAACTTTTGAATAAAAATTTGCATAATCTAACTAAAAGTATACTCCCTTAGAAGATAAGTCCACTAGTTTCTAGACCCAGCTCAGCTATTTGAGTCTGAGTCTGAAGATTTTAATCTATAAAACAAGAATATTAAATGAGTTTATTTTTAAATCCCCCTTCAAGCTACTGTTTTAAATATTTAAGAATTTAAAATTCAATGGGGCCGGCCCGGTGGCATAGTGGTTAAGTTCAGATGCTCTGCTTCGGTGGCCTGGGGTTCGAAGGTTGGGATCCTGGGCACGGATCTAGTCACCGCTCATCAAACCATGCTGTGGCAGGCATCCCACGTATAAAGTAGAGGAAGATGGGCACGGATGTTAGCCCAGGGCCAATCTTCCTCAGCAAAAATAAAATTAAATTAAATTCAAAAGCGTTGATTAAAAAATGTTTCTAGACCATAGCATTTCAGATTATTATGTTCAACAAATGAAACCTAGTTTTCCCTTAAAAATTAATGAACTGTCAAAGTGGTTGAGTTTTTTTTTTGTGTGTGTGTACTAGGGAGGGGAGGCAGAAATTACTAGAATCTTTTATAACTATTATTCATGATTTCTCCTAATAGCACTTGAAGGGTCGGTACTAAAAACACTCTCATACCACCTTCTAAATTACATGATTGCTGGGTAATTAGAAGCTTCATATATCCTACTAAAAACTTTTAAGTAATTTTTTTTTTTTTTATAATTTTATTTATTTATATTTTTATCCCCAAAGCCCCAGGAGATAGTTGTATGTCATAGCTGCACATCCTTCTAGTTGCTGTATGTGGGACGCAGCCTCAGCATGGCCGGAGAAGCGGTGCGTCGGTGCGCGCCCAGGATCCGAACCCGGGCCGCCAGCAGCGGAGCGCGCGCACTTAACCGCTAAGCCATGGGGCCGGCCCCTTAAGTAGTTTTTAAAATGTTGAAAAAAACTAATATTCACACAATGCCATTTACATCAGCACCCAAAAAATGAAATACTTAGGAATAAATCTAACAAAGTATGTACAAAATCTATATGAGGAAAACTACAAATCTCTGATAAATGAAACCAAAGAACTAAATAAATGGAGAGATATTCATGTTCACAGACAGGAAGATTCAATACTGTCAAGATGTCAGTTCTTCCCAACTTGATCTACAGATTCAATGCCATCCCAAACAAAACCCCAGCAGGTTATTTTATGGATATTGACAAACTGATTCTCAAGTTTATAAGGAGAGGGAAAAGACCCAGAATAGCCAACACAATACTGAAGAACAAAGTTGGAAAACTGACACTACCCAACTTCAAAACTTAATACAAAGCTAAAGTAATAAAGACAGTGTGGTACTGGTGAAAGAATGGACAAATTGATCAGTGGAACAGAATAGAGAACCGAGTAATAGATCCACATAAATATAGTTAACTGATCTTTGACAAATGAGCAAAGGTTATACAATGGAGCAAAGACAGTCCTCTCAACAAATGGTGCTGGAACAACTGGACATCCACATGCAAAAAAATGAATCCAGACACAGACCCTACACTCTTCACAAAAATTAACTCAAAAATGGATTATAGACCTAAATGTAAAATGTGAAACTATAAAACTCCTAGAAGATAACATAAAAGAATACTCAGATGACCTTGGGTATGGTGATGCCTTTTTAGATATGACACCAAAGACATGATGCATGAAAGAAATAATGGATAAGCTGGACTTCATCTAAAATTAAAAACTTCTGCTCTGTGAAACAGAATTAAAAGACAAGCCACAGACTGGGAAAAATATTTGTAAAAGACACATGATAAAGGACTGCTATCTACAGTATGCAAAGAACTCTTAAAACTCAACAATAAGAAAACAAACAACTCGATTAAAAAATGGGCCAAAAACTTTAAGAGACACCTCACCAAAGGAGATACACAGATGGCAAATAAACATGAAAAGATGCTCCACATCGTATGTCATCAGGGAAATGCAAATTAAAACAAGATACCATTACACACCTATTAGAATGGCCAAAATCTGAAACACTGACAATATCAAATGCTGGTGAGGATACACTGCTGGTGGGAATGAAAAATGATACAGCCACTTTGGAAGACAGTTTGGCAGTTTCTTACAAAACTAAACATACTCTTACCATACATTCCAGCAATCATGCTCCTTGGTATTGACCCAAAGGAGTTGAAAACTTACATCCACACAAAAACCTGCACACAGCAGCTTTATTCATAATTGCTAATACTTGGAAGCAACCAAGATGTCCTTCAGTAGACAAATATATAAATAAACTGTGGTACATCCAGACAATAGAATATTATTCAGCACCAAAAAGAAATGACCTATCAAGCTATGAAAAGACATGGAGGAACCTTAAATGCATATTACTAAGTGAAAGAAGCCAATATGATACACTATATGATTCCAACTATATGACATTCTGGAAAAGGTGAAACTATGGAGACAGTAAAAAGATCAGTGGTTTCCAGGGGTAGGGATGGGGATGGGAGTGAGGGGAGATGAATAAGCAGAGCATAGAGGATTTGTACGGCAGTGAAAATACTCTGTATGATATTATAATGATGGATAATAGGAAATTAACATTTGTCCAAACCCACAGAATATGTAACACCAAGAGTGAACCTTAAGGTAAACTGTGGACTTTGGGTGATTATGATGTGTCAATGTAGGTTCAAGCTTCATAAAAAATGAAGCTTGACGTATCATTCTGGCGAGTGATGTTGATAATGGGGGAGGCTATCCATGTGTGGAGGCAGGGAGTATGTGAGACATCTCTGAACCTCCCTCTCAATTTTGTTGTAAACCTAAAACTGCTCTAAAAAATAAAGTCATAAAAAAGAAAAAAAAAAATCTAACATTCCAAACTTACTTTAAAACATAATTATCTCATTATAGCACATACCTTAAACATTTACACTATCAATTACTGGTACATGATCATATTCTTTTTTAATCTTTAGGTCTTACAACCTACTATTGTTTCTTGCACAGTAAATGAAAAAAAAAAAGTGGCTTAACATTTCACATAACTTTACAAAAAATATAAAGTCCAAACTCTGCTAACCAATTCTCCTTCTGTTCCCCACCTTACCATTTCAGTTTCTGTATTAGGAACACTTACCAGATACAATACATATCCCCATTCTGGAGCTGTGGAATAAGAAAGGATTCACAGAGTTGCAAGGCTAACATAGTCTTGCCTTCTTTTTCAGTGTTACAGATGATATCAATTCCACTCTTACAATCAGTTTTCAATAAATGCTATAAGAGGAAAAGAAAAATCAGTTCATATCATCAAAAATATCTAAAAAGCTAGTTGCAATAACTGTTTAAACATTCAGAAGAAATTAGACTCCCAGTTTTCTTCCACAAAAACAACGATGAATTGTACAGAAATATTTTCATGGTTTCACTATATAGCACCTACAGTTTACAATGACTACTTTTAATCTCATTTATCTCCAAAACTTGTGGGTAAGTAGGGTCCATACTAGGAAAAGATCAATTCTTTCATCTTAAAAAAAAATAAAATAACATGAGCATTTATTTTCTTAATATTTTATTTAAAAGGCAAAATCATAATGCTCCTCAGTTTTTATTTGACCTCTGTTACACAAGAAGCTTAACGTGAATTATGCTTACTAATGTTTTGTTAATTTCATCATTTGTTAATATCAGATTCTGTCTAATTCAATAAGCTTAAACAATGGCCAAAGAGAACACATCTAGATAATGTAATTTTTAAAACCCTTGGTATTACTGTTAAAGGAATTTAACAACAAGAATGGGCTACACTCTCTTTTATTCTAAGGTTAAAACAGGCAAACATAATCTCAAACAATACCTCCCGGAATAGCTGATCTTCTACAGGTGACATAAACAGACATGTGAAGAGTGCTTGATGGAAGTACAAGTCTTTACTGATTTCTGGGTGGTTTATGCAAGATTTAATAAGAGCCATTGCTTCAGGTATGCGTTCACAAGCAATTAGGTATCTGGCACGTAGTTCAAAGAACAGTGGATTTTCAGAACTTAAATATTTGTTCACTATATTAAAAAGAAAACAGACTCTTATTACTCTCAAGAAAAGATTCTCTCAAACTTTGATTTGTTGTTTGAAACTTTAGCACTAACATGTGGTATCTAATTAGATTAACCAGTTATTTAATTAAATAGTATTTTCTGTAGTAGTTTATTTGTGAAAAGAATATTTAGTTATGATTGGAAAAATGGAAATGAGTGACACCAAAACAGTGCTTAAGAAATATCTGTTGATTTCTTCTCAGTCTAAAAAGTAAAAAAAAAAAAATTTAAAAAGAAAAAACATGAAATATTCTTTGTTCAGTTCACTAATATGTTAAAATATGTTTCAAATAACATGGGGTCTGGAATTTCTTTCTAGTCTAAGATTATGTACTTTATCTTCTTACTGCTCAATATTTTCATTACTGTAAGATTAAAAGGCTGAATCCTACATATGTCATTAAAACTACATTAATTCAGACTACAGAGAAATATAATCTGAATTAATGAAAAAAGTTAAATCATTAAAGAAATATATTTGATTAATTTTCAACAAAAAACTACGCCAAAAGTATTGCCAAAAAGGACTGCTGCTTAATATATGCTCATGTTTCACTAAGGATAATTACTAATATTTACTTTTACACAATTTAAAAATATATAAACACCTCTATCTACATAAGTTTATTCAGACCTAACAACAACCTTATGACAGGTGTCATAATACGTGTTTTACAGATCACAAAACTGAGTCTCAGAGAGGTCAAATGACTTGCCCAAGGATGAAGAATTAGTAAGTGGCAGAGCAGGAACTGGAACCCATATTTCGTGATTTCAAATTCAAAAGTGTTTTACTTACTTATATATGTTTAATCAGTAGCTTCTAAAATGCCTATGAGTAATGTTTTATTTGGGCTTCAACATTTGCCTTGCAATTCTGTTTACAGTATATGATAAGCAGACACTGATTTGTACAGTTAACACAAAGATAAACTTCAGACTGGTCTTTACCCTAGTAGAGGACTAGTAGGGTCAACTGGGGGAGCGTCACCCACATTAATGAGGCTCTAGAGCAGCTTTTCCCAAACTGAGGTACACTAGTGTAAGTCAGAAAGGAGTATGTATGAAAGGACTATATAGAGGGAGGCCATCAGCCCTCACATCAGCCAACAACAGGTTTGTTCTAGCTCCTACTCAGAGAAGCCGAAAAACTCCCCAAAAAGCCTAAACTTCCTTCTCCCCTGTTCTCACTCCTTCTGAAGCTCTATCTTTGTCTAGCTCCTGTCTCCTCTGGCCATATTCTCCAATCTCCTGATAGTTTCCTTCAGGCTGTCACCCTTGCCTTCCCTATATTTTACTGTTCATACTTTTCTTCAATAATCCAACTTGCCCTCTTCAGTTTCCACTGTCTCCCTCTTCAGTCTTTTCATTCCTTTCTGAGACCCTCATATCAAGTGCCAGTCTCCTCTGTATCCCTTGGGTATATACCACTATGCCACTGTCACATATACCTTAGCCCTTTCCTCCTAGTCTTGTCTTACCTCCCATCTCTTCCTATTACTTTGCACTACTTCTCCTGGGCTTACCTCTCTCTTTCATCTTCTCTCACATCTCTGTCGCAGTCCTCCACACTTGTATCTGGGGTCAGCTTGATCTTAAGCCCAAGAATCATAGTCCCTTCTCTACTCAACTCTACTCTCAACCCACCCCCAACCCTTAACCTGAGACAAGTGCAAAGATGCTAACCTGCTCAGCACAATCTGTGGTGTGAAATATCTTTCTCACCAGACCAAGGTCTGAATGGTTCCAGAGCTGGGAGGTTTTGTCTTTTCCCTTTGGCCATCTTGTAATTGCACTCCACAGGCTCTGTCCATGCTTTCAAATGCTGTCCACACTTTTGTGCTTATTCACTACTGCTGAGCTTACATTCTAAGTTTTGGTGATCCAAAATGTTCTGGGGCTTAGGAATAATATGTCAAATGTTTTTTAAAAGAATTAACTAGAAGTAGTTGACAGAGCTTCCTGCCTCAAAAGGAAATTTTGGCCCACAGGAGCCAGTGTGGATCTAGGTTTGAGAGGAAGTAATGTCCAAGAAGTATGCAGGTGGTAAGGGGACGAGACAAAACAACTTCTATTAATGGATAGAGTTTGGGAAATACTGTTCTAGAGTATTTGGAATTGAAATTTACTTCTTTATTCAATTAGTCACGCATTCACGTATGCATTCATCACGTAGTCATTCATTTAATCAACAAATACTTAAATTAAGCACCTACTCTGTACCAGGTACTGCGCTAGGTGTAGGATATGCAACAGTGGTAACAAAAACTGAAAGAGTTCCAGCCCTCACAGAGTTTCCTATATAAGGGAGATTCCATGTGCTTAAGAGGGTGTTTTTTTTTAAGGGTGTTCCTACTTAAATAGATTTTAAAAATATAACTAAAGTGACAAAAACAAATAAACTCTATGTAAATAAGTAACATCTGGATAGTAAATGTGTTAACACTCTGGATTTCCATTAGAATAAATGGGAAATGACTAGAAATAAATGTACCTAATTTAATATTAAAAATCACTCTTGGGCTGGGTTAGTATATAACAAATTAAACATACTTTATGTGAAAATACATCACTCTTATTCAGTATTATAAAATAAAGAAAAATCACTATTACTGCTCTAGTTAGAAAATGAAATTGTGTTTGCTTCTCACAAATGTTGGTTTTGATTTTGAGTCTCCTGAAGTACCTATCTCCTGAGATGCTGGCTGGGCTTTAAGAACAGCTTGCAACACTGGATCTTCCCATGGGCCACCATCTCTAATGATTCGAGTCACCAGTTCCAGATTCACATTTCCATATCTGCGGAGGTGATTCTGGCATTCCTAGGAGAGAAAAATCATTTTGGCTTTGTGAATTTAAAGGGGTTAAAAACTAAACTTGATCATCGTTGTCAGTAAAATGACAGATGGTCAATGAGGCAGCTATTAAATTATAAAAGAGAAAGAATTGCTATAGTAACCTAAGCAGGGTGTCAAAACCCCATTAGTACACAAATAGGCTTTAATGCCAAAGGTTACACAGTTTGTACATAATTTGACTTAGAAAATCCCATCATAATAGGGATGAAGTGTAACCTAAGAGGAAAATTTAAGGGATGCATCATTTCTAGGAAAAGAACCAGGTTGCAAAAACCTAGGGGAAAAACTTACAGGATGCATCATTTCTAGGAAAAGAACCAGGTTGCAAAAATGTAAAACTTACATGTTCAATTAAATTTATGTGAGGGCTCATAAAGTTTGTGTTACCAATGGCAGGCAAGAGCCTGACAGTAAGAAGAGGGTAGGGGGGTTCTTGTCCAATGCAGACTCTGGTTGGCAGGTAGACAGATCCCCTGCCCTGATCCCAAATGTATAGTCTTAGTTGTGGTAGAAGGCTGGAAGATGGAAACTCTATTCCACTTTATTGTGTAAGTAGATCTGTAGTCTCAGGATGAAGAAATGATAGGTTGAAGAAATGAAGACTTTGCATTAGGTTTAAGATAAAGATGTATTGATAAGTTGGACATAAACTGATAATTTGTCTATGCATTTTCTGGGATTTTTTTAAAGATATTTGAAATGTTTTTAGAAAATCTGTTATCTAGACTTGTGATTATAATATGAATTATGTAACAGAAGTTTGTGAACAGCGTTTAATATTTAAGAGAACTTGGTTTACTGAATTTATAAATTTGACTTATTAGATTTATAAGATTTTATTGTTTGGTTATGCTTTTTTGATTCAGTATGCTTTGTTAGGTAGTGTTTTTTAAAATGTTTCAAGGAATTTAATATGATAATTTAAAAAGATTAACTGAAGGTCTAGTGAAGGTATGAATAGATTTATTTTTTTAAATGCATAAATTGAGCTTAAAGCCTTAAGAAAAAACTAGATATTGAAATTGGCAATATTAAAAATTTGAATAAACTGCACATCAGTTAAAACACAAACAATTGCCAGAATTTATTTCTGTGCTCAAAAAAATCCCTCAGACATTAAAAACTTAATAATTGTTATAAAGTAAGCTTAGGATAAAACAATATATATTCACAAATTTTACTTAGATGAAAATCATTAGGCTACATACTCAAAGTGGCAGTGTTTAATTGTCATCATTTGAACATTCCAAAGTGATATCTATATGCCACTTTTTCATACCTTGTTATAATACACAAAAGAGGTTTTATTGGTTTTATAAGATAACAAGGCAGTAGAAGAAATCAAGTTTAAAGACAAAGGATCATTCAGTCAAAGAAGTCAAAGCAGTCAAAACATGAAAATAAGGATCTTCTAAAAGTTATTTAGGACATTCCCAAATTAAAACAAGCAACCAAACAAAAACGCTATTAACAATGGGCAAGTTACTTAACCTCTCTGTGCTCCTTTAGTTAACTCCTAGGAAAAATGGATACTAAAAACACCTACTTCATAGGATTGTTGTGAGGATTAAATAATAGTATTGAAAAGTGCTTGGACTAGTGCCTGGCACATAGTAAGCACTTAATAAATCAGCTATTACTTCTTCAAGTATTTTTTAACATTTTCAATAAATATATTATTTTAGGACAACCAATTACCTTAGCATAAAATTAATTTCTACAATTCCATGTGTCAGTATGTTATAGCATTCATAAAAATAAGATATAGAGTTATTGATCAGCCATGATTTTTTTAACACATGGAACACAGTAATGATCTGTGGCAACAGCTTCATGGTTAAAAACAATCATCAATTTCAAACCTCAAGGTAAACAAACTACTAAATTACTCTAGACACACATATTGCTGCCCCTATATTTCAACTACTGTTAAGCTGGCTTTTGTCCAAGAAAAGCACAAGAAATAAGGTGAGCTGGATGCTAGCCCCTGCATCACTGATGAGCTTCAGCTCTTGGACAATCCTGCATTCTAGCTGTCTTAGGGCAAGTGAGGCACCAACCACACAGCCATTAGAACTGCGGGACCTGGAACTGGACTTAGGCCTAAGTCAAGATTTGGTGAAACAGGTCTGTTGCTAATTTCCTAAACTTGGCTGAAAGTAAGAAACACTTGGAGGTCTTGTTAAAAAACAGATTCCCAGGCCCCACTTCAAACCTACTAAATCAAAACTTCTAGGGGAAAGCCCTGATAATCTGTATATGTAACAACCCCCAGCCCATGGTCCACTTTGGCATACTTTTTGAATGCACCTCCTACATTTAGAGTGCACTTTCATAAATGTTTACACTATAAATTATATACCTGTACCATCAATCCTTCCATTAAAAATTAGTAAATTAGCTTTAAGTTCATTTTTCTAAGATAAAAATTATAAATGAGAGTTTTGTTTTTCTGTATGTGTGCACTTCTTGAGTTAAGTAAGTACACCATATTTTGGAGACCACTTCTATGGGAAATAGCTCTGGACAGGAAATAGAGACAAAATAAAGACTTCATTTTGGTCTATTTAAAAAGACACAGGAGGAAAGAGAATAAGTTTGTAATTATCTTTTGCACCTCCTTCCTTACATAGTAGGGTAGCTTTTTTGGATGATATTCAATTTAAAAGCCTCCAAAGTGAAAAAGGAAGCACTTAAATCTCTAGAATTTACAACTTATCTTTTCTAGAGTATATACATATTGTATTTTTTTTAGAATGTTCACTTACTTAAAAATTTGGACCTGTATATTAACCTAATCATTTATTAAGTCATCTGTCTACTATCAGATACCCACTGCACTGTGCTACATACAATTTCCTCAGAAACTTCCATTCAACTTTTGTCTTTGACAAAGTAGAGAGAAAACACAACTCCTTCCCTCACTCTTCTTTCAGAATCCCTTGTGGTGTGGGCTTAATGTTTTGCTGCAGAAGATTTTTCTTCCCTGACTCATTGCCGTAACACAAGTTGGCTGCTACAGCCTGTCTGTGAAGCTGCAGGTCAGTGCTGCAGCCATTCTCTATACTTGATCTGAACCCTTCAGCAGCTTCTCATAGGACGCAAGCCTTAGCGCTCCAACGTCACATTTAAGGACCTCTGGACTCACCTACCAATGCATTCACCTACTGCACATCACGAATCCCTTTCTTCAGCCTGGTCACTTCCCTGTCCCCTAAACTCATCTTGTACTTTCTTGCCTATGCCTTTTCTCATATCACTCTTTTTCTCCTACAACTTCTTGTACACCTACCTAACCCTTCCCAGAAACCTATCTAAATCCTTTCCTAACGATCTTCCCACAGTCCCACTTTTCCCTGAGAAGCCTCCACTAGCTACCTCAATCCATAATAAACAATTCCTTCCGCCGCAGTATTGAAAATCTGTACCAGTCCACTCTCTGGTACTTATCATACAAGAGAAGGGCCTTGCATTATTAATTGAGTGTTGACATCTTACTTCCTAGGGAGTTAAAAGTGTCTTCTTACAGGTACACTTTTCCTTTCAGGAAAGGAAAGGTGTATCAGAGACGATATATACTCAATAATAAGTAACTTTTAAAATCAAAATAGAGTTTTATGGAAATCTGTGTGAGTATAAGTACCATGCAATATCTGTTTATTTTGAATGAAATGTAGATTCCAGAGTAAAATTACAGAATACCACATGTCAAATGCATCCATAAACAAGCTCCTGCAGCAAATCAAAGCAAGAATGTAAAAGCTCTTCAATGTGGTTAATTTCATAAAGACAAAGCCTTTTTTTATGGCTGAGTAAAACGGGGTGGGGGAGGGTCAAAGGGGTAAAGGGGCACGTGCGCAGTGATGGATGGCAACTAGACTTTTGGTGGTGAACACGACGTAGTCTATACAGAAATTGGAATATAATGATGTACACCTGAAATTTATATAATGTTATAAACCAATGCAACCTCAATAAAAAAAATAAAAGAAAAAAAACAAAGCCTTTAAAATACAGTAAAATCTTTACAATACATTGAAATGAGATGAGAATGACCATGATATCTTTTATTATTACTCTTTCATTGGTTATCTTATGGCAAAGCACTTCAAAGAGTTGTAAAATTTAAAGATGTTATGCAGTTTTCTTTTACAAAAAGAAAACTAGCACAAATGTGCTGTTCTTTTCTGTGATAAGTTCCTAAGGAGTATTTACCTGAAGTTTTTGAAAAAACAAACATTCTAAGTTTGCCCATATAAAGTAAAGAGGACAGTATAACAATGAAAAAGTTAGTGCTTTTCAAAAGAAAGCCCTTGGAGAAAATAATTTAAAATGAATGTTTGGAAGTGTTTGCATCATTACATGATTGTTGTTGCCAAAAATCAATACATCACCTATAATGCTTGTATCTATTCCACTAAAAACTTAAACTAGAATTTTCTGTTGAAAACTCTTTCAAGAGCATTTTAATGAGTTTTCAATTCGTTTGTTAAAATTGGTTGGTATTCAAGAAAACACTGATGTCAGGAACGACAGAAATTTAGTAGTCAAATTTCAAAAAATTCTTTGTAAATTTGGTGGAAGGCATTTAAAACTGGGTATGACAATTTAGAAAATAAAATTTTTCCATTTGGATTTACCAAAGGTATCTTTTTCATCTATGACAGCTATTAAAACCAAGTATCAAAGTAAATTACAATCAGACGTACTATATGACCAAGAGTTAAAATTTTTCAAGAATAAAGCACATTCAATCACTGGTATTAAAGTTTTTACACTGTTAAAACACTTTACTTTTATCCTTTTTAAATGTATTTTTGTTTCATAATGTATATAGTATTAGTACATGTACATAAATAACAAATACACATATATTGGAGATAGGTGCTCAAAATTTTTTTAAAAAACCTAGACGAGTATGATATCAGAGGTCTGGAAACTCCTGGTTTTAGGTATTATTTGTT